GTTATCAGATATCTCATGAACCGTTCTATGTTTGGAGGTTGGAGACAGTATGAGGCTTCCAGTCTTGAGCTAATCTTTGCTCCTGGAAGTCTTCGTTTATGCCAGAAGGCACAGCCTTGAGTTTGTACATCTTCATCCAATCTTTCCTCAACGCGAATGCAAAAGTATTTCGTGGAAGTCTGGGAAAGCGCAGTTGAAAAAGGGAACGTGCAACATGAAGTTCTACTAAACAGTATATAATGTATGTCTATCTATCGGATTGATTTGTTTTCTATGGCCAGTTGTGAATTAATGAGGTCCAAGGAGTCTGGAGGCTCATGAGAACACTGTACAAATGAGCAAGAGACAAAACTGTTCATATAATAGTGTACTCTTTGATGTTCTCTGCTATGATGTAGGTTTCTCCAAACCCAGAAAAGAAATATAGTGAACTACTAACTTGAACTATGACTCTGAAACAAAGCTATCAGACTGACTGGCCACGGGCAAAATGATTGCGCCACTGACAGACTGCACAACGTTCGCTCCGTTGCTGAAGCCTGAAGCCTGTGGGGGCAATGACTAGAGCAACAGACCTTCCTGCACAAAACTTGGGACGACAGCTTTGGAAGGGCGCGCCCTAACGTATTTCTCCGACAAATATTCCAGTCGGTGACCGATAACCAAATCGACACAAACAAAGACCGGTTGTTGCACACATATTTCAGTAGTAGTGGTCAACTTGTCACTTAGGTGACAGGTTGATGCCAATGTTCTTACGACTTCATGTGGACCATACGGGAGACAGATTGGTGACAACATCCTACTTGGAACAGCCAAGCGGCCAGTGGATTGGTCAATGACATTTCGCTCCACAAAAAATACTGTACGGAAGGATAGCCAACCCCTGTCGAATGATATATATAGCGAATTACCAAACAGTATAGTCGCGCTGGGAACATAGTTTCCTTGAAAGTTTTGCCAGTCGCTCAAATACTTCTTGACTCTTCGTTCAGAACGACAACCTTCAGACTTGCACTTTGTCCTTCGACTTCTTGTGAGACACCACACAAGAATATTTCAGACACTGGTTAGCTCCAAGGTTGTCCATTGCTAATGTAGTGCCTAATTCTTGGGTAAGATACATTGAACAAAATCGAATCAGAAATAGAAGCTTTCGCGGGGAAGGCATTCATGCATGCATGAACATATAATCAACCTCAAAAACACCCTGAGGAGCGCAAGTACGCTTCTTCAAATCACTGCAATGCACTGCCACATTCCATGTGAAAGGCCTTGGCTCGGCTCCGTCGAACTGAAAGACTCAAAACTTCACCCACTTAAATACAATACAATTAACCTCATACATTAGTAATGCCCTCGTAACTAGTAGCTTCTGGTTTTGTGACGTATACGTGACACAGAAAAGTTCAACTTTGGAGAAGTGTCTTGGCATCACATGTTCATTCTGCTGCCCCGGAGGCCAGAGCGGCCAGAACATGCCCCCCAGATAATCCTGCATGGATTGTGAATCCGGGAATCACAATCAAGACTCCTCTTCCCCTCTACAAGGCGCTGGACGAAGCATGTTCCTTGAGAGTGGCACCTGAGACGGGATAGATTCAGAATCACGTCCGGATCCCTTCACATATTTTTGCACGAGACTTGTTGGTTTTCACATTTCTTGGTTAAGGAGTGAAGGGTTCAAGAATGAGAAAGTTTGTATGGACAGCATGACGTCACTTTCAGCCAAAGTTCTGCCAACAATGCTGATTCGTTGATGAGTTAAGGACAGCTCTCAGCTAGCAGCTCCAACGTAGGGTTGCAACGGGTCACGCTCCACCTCATGATACATATTATACAAACTGAGTCAAGTGAGTATTTGGGCAAATATCGATACAATTTCGATACATCTCAGCGTGCAAGCCTCAGAGGACACTTGATGTACTGCAGCTGCCTGGCTTAAAGTTTAAAGGCACATGGTTCTGTCCCTGCAGCAAAAACTTTGCTTTTAGAAGCAATGAAGAAATAAGAAGCAGTCCCTGCACAACACATCAATAGATAGATAGATTATCTAAAGCAGACATTTGGCAGATTTGTGCGAATTCGATCTCCTTCGCTTGCCTTCGCCTGGGAGCCAAGTGGAGATGAAAAGCAAGCCATGCTAGAAGAGAGAGGACCTTCGATCCAAGTGGGTTTGAGCATGGCTTAGAAGAGATTGTCAGACTGTCAGATCTCTGACAATTTGCTCGTTCGAGTCGTTACGGACCTTTTGTTGAAGGGTTTTGTCAACTTTGAGTTTTTGTTGACCTGGCACAGGCCTTGAGATGGAGGCAGGATTCCTTTTGACATCACAAGCGTTTCTGCCAAGCTGTTATCAGAGAGTTAGAATAGAAAGCTGAAGCAACTAATCAATTGGCAACTTTACCAAATGAACATTGGAGCTGACAGAGTTGGACAGCTTCCAAAGCTGTCATATGTTTGCCAATACTAAGACGCTGCGATGCTTCTATTGAACGTGCCTGACAGCCTTTGTATGAATCACGTCAGCATCAGCCTTCCTTCAGACCAAAGCATTGCACTGTGGCCAAGGGGATCCCTTATAGGGCCTATATCAGTTTCACTTCTGTTCGTCAGATGCCCTTATCACGAAAGCTAGCACCAGCTAGCTGGAGTTGTTCTTGCTTTAGAAAGTGAGGGGCTTGAATCCTCGAGAGCGCCGCATCGCGCGAAAACTTCATATATACGAGGGGCCCCCTACCCCCCCGGCGCCCCGGCGGGTTCAACTGCTCCCTGGGGCGTCTCTGGGACGTGTGTATTTCCGCTGGCAGGGGGCTGACTGTTCTATCTTCTTACCTTTCTCGGTCGGATATCCCCCGCTTCACCCCCGCCCTGCTAGCTTTTGTCACCAACCCGAGATGCCCTTGTGGATGTTTGTCGAGGAGTGCCAAAGCTTCGTACTGGTCGCCAGTGAAATTGAAAACGAAGCCATTGGCCTTGATCGCAAAGGTGCCACTCGCCAGCAAAAAAGGAGTTAGTGAGAGCGCCGAACACTACGAGTTGCACTTTTGTAATAGTTATTCTTCGAAGGCTTTTGAAGCATACATTTCTGTAATCCTTTACGCCTACATCCCTTCAGCGTCCAAACAATTTACATATTTTGAGAAAATGCCAGGAGTCTGGAGGCACACGAGGTTTGCAAACAATCAGTAAATGGAATTATTTGTTATTCCAAATTAGCCGCAATGAATAAGGTTCTGAGGCCTATGAGAGCTCAGAGTGCTCACATTGACTTTGAGTGATTGAAACAAGCATCGGGAAGAAGTAGGGACCCAAGCTGGAACGTGCCCAGGATATTAAAGGTGCCATTGCGAAATACGAAGAGAGCTGTGGATCCCAGCATTTCATGGCAATAGGAAGGCAATTTTGCTGTCACGGTTAGGCAGAAGAGGCAGATGGTTGCGAAAGTGTATTTAATTTACTGTCTCGCCTTGCAAGCACACGCTTGTTCTGAGAAAGATTAATCTCCAGACTATTTGTGCCGTCAGAGGCACAATTCAAATCAAAAAAAGCATATTTGAAGACTTCATGTTTTGGTCAAAGCATCTAACAAGGCATCTTTGTCGCTGAGGTCAAAGCCTTTTGCAACGAGCCATTGCTCATTCAGCTTTATCAGCTCATGGGGACCGTGCCAAATTGGAGCAGCATCGGCGCGAGGCCAGATACACAATAGTATTATCCGTGGCCTCGCTTTGAGCCAAATGGATGGAAGGTTTGCACTTTGTGAAGCCACTACATCTTAGCATATTGATGCAAGTCTTAACAGCTAGTTTGTTCTCGTGTCTTCTGTTTTGAGCACTCAACAGAGAAACTACAGCCAACAAGAGCCAATACAGCTCTCGTGTCTCGAAGTAGGCGACATAGAAGTTTGGCTTCAGTTTTTTTGTGAACGTTCAATGCGCAAAAGAATGCACTGAGCATTGAGCATGGGACATTATAAGCAGGCTTGTCACGTCGCATGTCCTCATCCGTGGCATTGGCAGATCTTGGACCGCATTCAACACTTGAAGTCCTTGAAGGGTGGACCATCGACAATCCCAGTGGCCTGCCTGAGCCGCCCTTTAAGTTTTTCATGATTGTTCCATTCATATGTTGTCAGTTTTCCATAGCCTGCATTTCCTTGCATGTTCTTTTATGTTGTTTCCTTAACTTCCACTTTCCAGGGGCGAAGATATGCGTGGATAGAAGGATCCTATCCGACTACTGTGGCCTGAGCTGTGAGAGCTCCCTGGCACTGAGGTGGAAGATCAGCATGGGGTTCCAAGATGAAAGTGTATTCCAGTGGGCAGTTGCTGTCAGATGGCTTTCCGCGATGACACACGAAACCTAACCCTTTCACCACAGTGTTGAGAAACATCACGACATACTGTAAATTGCATCATCATGGAACGTTTCTTGTTCTTTGTTTTAATAGAAACAATGTTCGCTACTAGGAACAAGTGCATCGCTTCTAGTATCTTCTAGTAACAAGTGCCTTACTAGTAGTAACAATGTTTGCTAGTAGAAACAAGACTTAGTAATTAGTGTCACGGACTGATGGGGCGAGGTGGGGTGGGCCAGTCCGCTCTTTGTTCCTTTTTGTTGAGTGGATATGTGCGGAAACGAGTTATGTTATTTGAGACGCATGAGGGAGGCAAAGACAGAAAGCCGGGCCGCCTAGGATCCGAGCAGTTCAACTCGGCATGCAGGTGCGAAGCATTTGCCTTTCACGTTGGTCCTTTCTTTTGCCGAAGCGGGAAGAGAGAAAAGACTTGTGACGCACCGTCGTCTACGATCGAGCAGCTAAGACGACCCTTTCTCCATCGCGGAGTGAGTCCGCTTGAGCCATCATTGATGGCATGAACCACGAAGTGGAAAAGGCGACTCTTGGTCAACAACATGAATGGTCTCCAGTGGTGCGTTTCGTCAGTCCCCCCAAACTCTCATTGACCAAGAGGCACAGAAAGTCCTGCATCTGCTGCTCATACTCTGCAAGCAGCCGCTTCTGTGCGTCTCTTAAAAGCAGGATCTTCCTTTCGGTGACCCAGTTCCTCCTGCACATCGACAAGACTGAGCCAACCGCTACGAATGAACTGATGCAAAGCATCGTTGGCCTTCAAAGGGTCCAACTTGGTGAGCCCATCCACCAGCATCTTCTGGTGGGGAACCCACCGAACCATGGACTTGGTTTCTTGCAAGTCCTTCAAAATGATAGCCAGCTCTAAAGCACTCTTGCGATCCTGCTTGCCAGTGGGATTCTCCCGAAGCAAGCAGTCAAACAAACTCTTCGCGTCCGTCACTGAGCACTGCTGTTGCCGCCCTCCAAGGTGACATTGTCCGCGCATCACCAACATGTGTGGGCTCAAACAGTTCCTCCATGACGAGAGCTGCACGTCATGGTAGACTGCATCCCGGTACATCACCTGGAGCCAGTCCACCTCATTGACGCCTTGCAACATGGCTTGTGTCTCTCCTCCGAAGGTAGAGAATACCTTCCGCCGAAGGCGGGAGGACCGCCAAGTGATTGGTGAGGCTCGCACTGCCGTCTTTCCCTGAGGCAGCTTCTCGGCCGTGAGCACCATCCATGCCCCCTGGGTCGCGTCCATCGGGAGGCCGTCATGGTCAACCAGGTCACTTCCCTGCATGTTGATGCCGCCCGCGTCGGACACAGCGATGAAGCACATGCCAAAGGGGTCGAACTTCCACAACTTCAGCGGGCGACTGGCAGTAGTGCGCAGGAAGTTCACGAATCGGTTAACAATAGCTACATCTCCGACGTTGGCCTGAGGAAGACGACTTGCCATCAGAGATGCAATGCCAGCAGCTTCCGGTCGGCTCTCTCTCCCAACCCAGTTGATCTTGAAGATGAGCGACCTTAGTGCCTTGAACTCTTCCTCGTTGAGGGCCATCGAGTGTTGTCCGCGCCTGCCACGAGGCAGTTGAATTGGGTGGATCTGCTCAGTGATGTACTTGGCCTGGTCCACGTAGATGGCTTCAGGAGTCACTCGCACATGTCGGCCTGCATACTCAGCCTCATCTTTCTCCCACTTGCCGAAGTGGAATCGTTTGGTCATAGCCTGGCGTAGAGCCTCATAGTGAGATGGTAGAGCCGTGACGATGAAGTCATCCACTTCCACCAAGACCTGTGCAGTGCACTTTCCTTGTTCGGAGTATCTCGAGAACCAGCAGGGCTCCACGAGGTTCCTCTTGAAGCCAAGATCCTCCGTCAAGAAGCTGGTCACAGTGCGGCGCCACTCAGCAGGAGCATCATCCAGCCCGTAGACTGGCACCAGAATGCGGATGAGAGCCCCTGGTTGAAGACGGAGGCCCTCACAAGGTTCTGCAAACAGTGGACCCCGTTCACGTTGAAGAGGACGGGATTGGCAGAAAGCATTCTTGACGTCTGCAAAAGCACACGTCATGCCCAGGTTCAAGGCCGTCTGTAGAAAGAGCATCAGACCTTCCCCTTGGGGAGTTGGAGCATAGGTGCTGAGCCACTTGGTGTCTGGGTCGACGTGTCCGTGGATGCACCAGCGGCTCTTTGCCTTCCATGAGTGTAGCTCTGGTTGTGGCTTCTTGCGCCTGACCATTCTTGAGGAAAGAATGCGATCAGGGTATTGCTTGCGAGCCGCTTCTGCCTCCTTGCCATAGATGACGTCGACGGCACCCGTCTGGGTAACGGCTCCCCACTCCACCTCGTCAGACTGGTCGAAGAGAGTCTTCTCCTCTCGGCTCAAGTCCTTCAAGGAGATCTCGTCGTTTCTCTTGGCCATGAAGTTCCATTGTCCAGACTTGTCGAGGTGCAGGTCAGTGTCTCCGAGGGAATAGTTGAAGAGCGATCCACTCCAGAGCTCGAGCTCGTCATCCGCGAGCGTATCTTGGCGCTGTTGTCTCAAGTTCTCGAACTCCTGGACCTGTTGGGTGACTCGTCCCTCGGGAGGTAGAGTCTCCGCAGGTGTGAGAGGTGGCTGCACTGAAGATGAACTAGTGGCCTCTCGAGGGATGCGGCTGAGAAGTCGGTCGACCGGAGTTCCAGGTGCCCGAGTGTGAGTTCCCTCTTCTTCGTCATCCAGTCGTGCTTGCTTGGTGGGAGGCTCAGAGATCTCATCTGACCCAGTGCCGGAGTGGTCGGAGATGCCACGTGTCATAGTTGGAATTTCCCCAGCCGTCGAGGGAGCAGCTGGTTCAGAGGCGGGCTCGTTGATGGACTGCCTCCTTGACTGGTTCGGTGTGAGACCAGGTGGAGGATGAGGTACCCGCTGAGGGAGGTCTTCTGCCTCTGCTTCTTCTGGAACGGCCGGCAAAGGCGAGGACGTCCTCAAGGGAGTCACGTTAGGCAGCAGGCCCGGTGGCACCCATGTCGGTGAGCGTGGTGCCTCAACTGGCACAGTCTCCGACGGTTGATGAAGAGGAAGCTGACATTCTTCTACTCTTGAGTCGGGCCCCAGATTGACCCCACGTTCATCACGCTGCACTGGTCCAAGCATCTCTTGCGGAGAAGGGTTGCCCTCCTTGGAGACGTCCACGGCTCCTGCCTGCGTGCCGGTGACTACTTGCCGGAGAAGCTCTCCTAGTCCAGGATCCGAGATGAGGTCGCGACCGAGAATCTCGCTTGGAAGAGCCGCCCGCAGCTGTTCAGGGGAACATCGCCAAAGCCTGGAGCGCATGCCGACGTAGACAGTGTCATTGTTTGCCAGAACCACGACCCCAGGGCCCACCCAACGGCTGCGCAGGTGCAAGTCTTGATTCTGCTTGGCTCTTCGGAAAACATAGACCCATTGGCCTGGCGTCCAAACTCGTTGCTGATGAGTGGCTGCATGCACTGACCTGCGGATGGCATCGGTGCTTGCCTGTTGCATCGCCAGCTGCCTGGCTCTCTCTCGGATCTCATGTCTCCTCCGATACTCGCCGGCTGCCTCATCGACCGCCAGAGGGTCCGCATGTGCATCGTGCATGCCGTGGAGGGCCAACTCATCCTCAGCCAGCAGCTCTCCTGGAATGCGTGGAAGCTCACCAAAGACTAACTGTGCTGGAGTGTAGCCTCCTCTGCATAGCCAGCGGTTCTTCACTGACGTCAATGCTGCAAGAAACTCGTCCAGCTCCTCAAGGGATTCCAAGTTGCAACGTCCACCATGCAGCTCTGAGTCCAGCCGATTCTTGAGCCATCCACCGTGTCGTTCGGCACGTCCATTCTGCCAAGGACATTCGGGAAGGATGACGTGTTGGAGGACGCCGGCCAGCTCAAGACCACGCTCGAACAGCCCTCGGAACTCATTTCCACTGTCGCAAACGACCAGCTGGGGCATGCCAAAGTACCTCTGCCATGACTCCACGAAGAGCTTCCAGGTCGTGGCAGAAGATGGAGTACCTCCATGTGTAGTGGTCACCGGTGCCCGAACGGCAATCTGGTATGAGGTTCCGCCACAGACCATGTTCAAAATGGGAATGCGTTGTTCCTTGAACTTGACGAACAAGAAGTCCAAACAAAGAACTTTGTTGAACGCAAATGTCCGTGGCAGTTGAGCCCGTCGCCTGACATCGGGCCCCTGCTTCAAGTTGCAGTCCTCACATGAAAACTCTTCCTTGATGAATCGCAGGATCTGTGGCAGGGCTCCTGCTGCCTTGAAAGCCCGAAGCATTCGTGTTCGATCAGGGTGTCCTGTGTTGACATGGACTTTCTGTACCAGCCTTCTCTGACTGGCCGTTGCCTGAGGAAGGTTCTTCTCGATCTCGATCTCACCGGATTCCTCTTCTCCCAAGCGCGTCGGCGCTTCTTCCTCGTCGTCTTCCTCCTCACCGAAGAAGCTGCAGTTCCAGCTTGGTCCCACCGTGGGCTCATAGTCGGCGATGAAGGAAGGAGCTGGTGCTCCCATAGAGGCCGCCTTAGCGCTGCGGGCGATTGCCATGCACAGTGCTCTAGGATATTCTTGTGCTTGTTGAGGAAGTCCTCCAATGAGAGGTCGGTGTTCATGATCTCCTCGGCACTGGGCCATGCAGAGCTCGAAGGCGAGCCAGGGATTGTTGGTGGCCATCTTGGTGCCCTTACGGCTCAGTGTCCCATCCGGGACGACTGACAAGCCAAACATACATTGATCGAAGGCGATGAGGCACACCTCCGGTCTCTGCACGAGCTGTTGTGACTGCGGTAGTGTCCAAGAAGCCGCCCACTCAGGATGTTCAAGGGCGAAGTAGTTGTCTTGGCAAATCTGCTCCTTGATCGCCTCAAGACTGAAGTCCCACATCAGCAGTCCTTCAGCTAGTGTGGCACGAATGGCCTCGGGCGAGGTGCGGTCCTGGTTGATGTACCTGAGCTGGGTGAAGGCGCGACACTCCGGAGAAGCCATCAGCATCTTCGGCTTCTGGGTGTGCTGTCTCTTCCTAAACAGCTGTCGGTTGGACTTCTTTCTCACGTCCCATCCACCCTTGATGTCATAGACTTGGGAAAGATCCACCCGGAGTCCAAGCTTCTGGGCCAGAGGGGCCACCCGAGCCGGAGAGAAGAGCTCCACGAAGTCCAGCGATGCACCGCCTTGATGGACAGCTCGTTGAGATAGCCAGGTGAGGTTGCGGTGACAGCGTAGGAGATCAGTCTGGTGTCCCTGATTGCTCATCTCAGTCAAAGTCTCTTCCGCTGGTTCATCAAAATGTGGCACCTCGAAAGCCCAAAAGGGTCCAGCTGGACTAGCATGACCAGTTGCGTCGAAGCTCAAAATGGGGCTGTCTGGTCGCGCCAAGGTCAACCTAGTCAAGAAGTCACGAGGAGCACCCCAGATGTCCGTGATGAAGCCATCTTGATAGGCTTCCTCCGGAAGAGTAGTTCCGATGGTCGGCATGTTCACCAGCAAGTGGCCAGAGGATTCCTCCAGAACCCTGCACCACACCACATCCCATTCATCAGGTGGAGCTTGAGATGCTCCCCTCAGACGCTTCCCAAGGAGAGCCGTTGGCAGCCAAGGTGGACGATCCTGAGCCGCAAGATCGCCATCAGGCACTTGACGTAGTCCTCCGAGGGCCTGCTCAGGGCCGGGACGTCGAAGGGCTCGTACACCATGGGCCTGCTCAGGGCCGGAGTGCTGAAGGTCATGATCGCCGTGGGCCTGCTCAGGGCCAGCGTGGACCTGCTCAGGGTCAGCTTCCTCCCTCACGTACTCCCCGCGAAGGTCATAGTGGAAGATCATAGAAGAGCTGCCAACCCCATGCACCTCCAAATAGTGCTGCAACTGTGGCGAAGCCTGAGGCCAGGTCAGAGCCGACGCAGTAGTGCTCAGCAGACTTGAGAGCACCATCCAACCAGGCCAGCTCATTCGGCCGCCGGAGACTCGATGTTGGGATTCTGATTCTCTCCCTCGGTGTCGGTGAGATTGCTCTCCGGGGATGCCGTGGGAATCGATGGGAGGTTGGACCAGTCCACCTCGGTCGCCGACCAGTGATCTGACATCATGTCGACCTGCATCTCCGAAGGCATCTGCCCCTGCGTCTGATGATAGAGGCCAGTCTGAGGAGCAGGGTAGGCGGCATTGGTGTTCGCCATCATGATCATCTGTCCCTGGCCGTGCGCCAACTGCTGCAATGATTGATTGATCTGCGTCAGAGCATTGGCCAGCTGCGTGTTCTGGACCTGCAGGATGTTCATCGCCTCGCCCACGATCTGTGTCGCCTCGTTGGAGGCACTGGCCGCCAGGGAGCTGGGAATCGGAACAGGGCCGGAGGTTGTCGTTGATCGAGGAGGCATAGCCGTGGTGCCCTTGGCCTTCGCTTTTGGAGAGGTTGACGAAGTTCCCCGACCCTTCTTGGAGGCATAGCTCAGGCGTGCTCCGCACTGGAGGCACGCGGTCCAGGATGCGTACTGGTTCGCTCTGGAAGCAACTTGATTCTCGGGGTGCAGACAGCGCCCCGGGGCTTGATTCTCTGCCTCCACATACTTCTTGCGATTGGACAGGGTGCTCTTCGTCTTCAGCTCGGCAGCCACCAAGCGCTTGTAGGCCTGGCGATTTGACTCCACCTTCCCCAGAAGGGAGTTCATGAGGGCGGTCCATCGCTCCTCCAGCTGCTGCTCCTGTGGGTTCCGGCGAGACCCGTACGACATGAGAGGCAGGAACAGCTTCGAATTTGGATGTGGCAGTAGGTCGATTGCCCATAGAAATGGTCGAGCCTGAGTGCTGCGGCGGTGGACGGTCATGGGCGTGATCCAACTGCTCATCAAAGTGCAACAACTGCTCGACTGAGTGGTGATCCGTGCCGTGGACGGACATGCATGTGTGCAGCTTAGACATCGGCTCGTCCAGAACTACTGGTGGTACATGACTGACTGCATGACATGGTAGTGGATCTACTGTGTTGGACCTCGAAGGGGATGTTTGCACAACCTGCTCAATCTCATTGGGCTCATTACAAAGGTTGAAATTGCTCGGAGGGCCTTCAATCAAAGACACTTCAGACATGTAGTGCTGTGAATGGCTCCCTTTCATGTACGCGGAGGGGTTTGAGAGGTCGAAACATCCATCTTCGAGCTGATACTTCTTCATCAGATCGGGGGGCAAAGGAAAATGCTCGCCCTTCGTCCACTGGAACAGCTGCATGGTGCGGTGTCCAGAGCTCAAACGCTTCAGTGGCAGCTTCGCACTGAGCTTCCGTAAGTGGACCTGATCTGAAGGGAGATCGATGATCGTCTCTAGAAAATCCAAAAAAAAAACACGCTCAGCAAAGGAGGGATGCCACCCTCCAACACAGTGAACTCCAACACCCCGGGATGTCCTCCCGGAGAGATCGGAACCAACACCACCCGTGTCACTTGAGCGGTCCCACCAATGCCTGCCGGGGTCAAAATGGGAGCGTCCACCTCAACAAATTGCAAGCCCAGGTGCTTCAGGTGGTGTGCCATGGAGGACAAGGCCGTCTCACCGATCAAGTCCTGGGTTGCACCGATGTCCAGAATCGCGTCACCCGAGGGGATCGTCAGAAAGTTCCATTGTGCCTCTAACTTCTGACCGGTGGCAAGAACCTCGGACAGTGATTCTCGAAGCAACGACATGGTGCAGTATGAGAAGGCACTTTGAGATGGGCCATTCTGGCTGCTGCTGTAGGAGAAGGCTGACGGTGGTGCTGACTTCTTGTTCGCCTTGTTCATGTCACAGTCCTCGGCCCAGTGGCCCTTCTTGAGGCAGAGCTTGCATCGGGAGATCTTCTTGAGTTGCTCTCGATTGAGAGCATTCCGCCGGCCGCGGAAGTGCCCATCTGGCTTACGTCCATGGGGCGTCTTGTCGTCACCCTTCACGAAGGAGGTCCTTTCTTTGCGCATCTCGGCCTTGAAGAGCTTATTCTCCTTCCAGGTGCGAGGCTTCCTCTTCTTGTTCTCCAAAACCGCAAAGACCTCGTTTACTTGGTCCTCTGTCAGGTCAAGTGGTTCGAGCTCCTTCATGAGCTCAGCCTCATCAAGCGAGTCTTCCTCCTCGTCATCGTTCTCCTCGACGGTGGACGCGAAGCTGTCGGTGCTGGAGTGAGGCTCAACGTACGCTGCCATACGATCTGAACGAACGTCCAGTCGTGCGAGAGCTCGAGCGACAGCGTTGGGGTCCTCATCGTGACCTTGCAGCAATGCGGTCAAGTTCTGCTGGTTCTGGTCGTTGAGACCGGCTCCCTCTCGGAGCATTGTCGCCTTGAACGAGTCCGGGATGATCACACCGTAGGCGGCGGCATTGCTGAACTCTTTCTGTCGCCTGACAGCGAACTGAGACAGGGACTCTTCTCGATGTCGATGCTGGTCAACGATTGCTGACTTGAAAGCTCGACGTTTCTCATCATCCTCCCGGACGCCGGCTTTGTTGTTGATGATCTCGATGATCACGTCCAGGTACGCCGAGGTGTTCAGCACGGTCTCTGGCACATGCTCGAAGTCAGGCTGCATCTCCCATCCAAGAGATCGAAGGACTTTCTCCGCCTTGCGAGGCACGGGAAGGTCAGACGTCTTGTCCCAGCGCCGAATGGCGGTCACCCAGTAGCGACGGTGTGCCCAGCCAGGCCAACCAGGAGGATCTCCATAGTCTCCTCGATAGCCACCAGAGCCAGAGGACCAACTCGACGCTGATGCATTCCAGTCCCAAGCCTGCCAACTGGCAGAGCGATTCCAACTCCAGCTGGTCCCATGCCAATCTCTGGCTCCCCAACCGGAGGTGCTCCATGAGGTCGCGTCAGGAGGAGTAGGGGTTCCGCCAGCCGCGACTGGTGGAGGAGCGGTCGGTGCCCCCATGGCTGACTGTGCCGTTGGGGCCGTCGGCGGAGAGGTCGTGGACGTCGTCCCTGCACTGGTACTCGTCGGATTCGTCGATGAAGTCCCATTCAAACTCGCCGTGGGGGGACTCGACGGTGTAGCCAGTGAACCTGCCATCGGAGGAGGCGGTGCCGTAGTCGCGGGCGTAGTCACTGAGCTTCCAACCACTGGTGCCGTCGTCTGACTCCAGGGCGTCGTGCTCGGACAGGAGGTAGTGCCGCCGTCTGGCGCTGCGCTAGGCGCAGCGGCGGCGGCCCAGGGGTCATCCGCCTGCAGGGGATCCACTCCAGGACTCTGTGTGGTCGCCATGACCTCTGAGCTCCCCTCAGCCGCGACACCATTCAGCGGCTGACCATCAGAGTGTCCTTGCGCCCACCAAGAGTCATCCCACGTGGATCCAGGCCAACCATTCCATGCGTCTCCACTCCCGCTCCAGGCGGGGTCATCATAGACCTGCAAATCGGGGACGGTGCCGCGAGCGGGATCTGACATGGCTCCGGATACCAACTGACGCACCGTCGTCTACGATCGAGCAGCTAAGACGACCCTTTCTCCATCGCGGAGTGAGTCCGCTTGAGCCATCATTGATGGCATGAACCACGAAGTGGAAAAGGCGACTCTTGGTCAACAACATGAATGGTCTCCAGTGGTGCGTTTCGTCAACTTGCTTGAAGAATGAAGTACAAGATGTTCATAGCATGCTTTAAAGATCAGATTTCTTGAAGCGTTCACAAAGAATTTTTGGTTTGTAAAATGCTAGTAGACACGAGCCTTGCTACATCACTTGAGCTTTGGAGGCGACCACAGCGGCCAACGAAGCCACTACAGCTGCAGGTCAGTGCTAAGATAGGGGTTGGACAGGTGGTGGCATGGCGGCCATTTTCCCTCACAAAGTTGATAAAACCGCACAAGAACGAATTCCAGAAAAATCTGCCCACGAGCCAAAGAAAATTGGCTTCTGAATGCTGTGATTGCGAGGAAGGAGCAATGCTATAGAAGAAAAACGGTATAGTTAAGATATGTTAAGACAAATGAAGTGAAAAGGTGCTGGAAGGTTCTACTTTGCAAAGCAAGACGTTAGAAGTTGCCACAATGGGTTTTGGTCGATGTCCCTTCTTTAGGGCTTCGTTGGGAGGTCTCCCGATGCATCGATCACACCCATGTATGGGCAAGTAGTAAACTTAGTAAACAGTGTAGGTGTATGGGAGTGCGCCCGGTCAGTTCCTCCTTCGGCCCTTTGGGACTGGGAGCAGCCAATGGAGAAGGTGCCCTCAATCCTCACAGTGCTTCTAAGTTAGATTTGGGGATAGGACTCCAACCGTGTTTATGGACTCATGTTGAAGCTTTATTGTTTAAGGCGCTCTTAAGGAATTCTTGTTTGTTGAACATGTCCAAAGGACTTTGGATGACTTTTGTGGATATATCCTTTATATATTCGATGCACATTGGTGTTGATCCTTTCCGTTTGTTGTTTCACAGTTCGACTTTTCGATGAGTCATTTACACTTCGTTTACACTTCCTCAGTATTCTCTTGAATTATGATTCTGCGCATAAGAAAGGTGGCGTGAAGCAGATGGCCGCTGTAGCAGCTGTTGGAGCTGTTGGTGGTGCGATCGCTTCGGCACCCAGAAGCAAAAGAACCTTGAACGTTTGCACTTTATTCAAGCCGGGAGAAGAGTTAAAATGCGTTTGGGACTGCACACGCTAAATTTAGTTTTTTGCGGCACTTGTAAGCAGACTTGATATGTTTTGGTTCGTTTGGCCAAGATGTGTTTCATATGTTTCATATTGAAGTTCTTTGCTTGTTGTTTTGGCACAACCGAGATATTGCTTACAGTACACAAATGCGCTGTCGATGGCTGTCACCCCTAAGGTTTTAATGGCTCTCACCCCCTAAGGTTTCTGAGGATAAAAAACATCCAGAAACTTCTCGGGTTCTGAAGAGGAAATCTGAGTTTCAAAGGTGTCACTGTTGGGAGCTGCTGGGTTCACATCAGTCTTGCTTTGAACAGCGAACCTCTACACCTTCAAGGTGCCATGCACCTTGCATTGGGGATAGCCTAAAACCCTGCCCTGTTTCTCATTGTTTGGCATAGCTTGAGCCGAGGTCTTGGGAGGTGCTTTGGGCCTGGCCACAGTAGGTACGCATGGGGCTTCAACTTTTAGACTGTTTCTCGAAGACTCAAAGTAAGTTTCGAACTGTCTTCGAGTCATGCCAGATTCTGAGAATTGTCAGCTCACTGCCTTCCAGATTCCAAGATTGAAGGAACACTACATGTCCATGGGTTTCAAGAAGATGTTGAGAAGCATTGCATCCAAACATTCAAGATTAAGTTATTCATTCGGTTTAGTTCCGTGTCACTGGCAGGTGCTGTGGGAGGTGCTGCAGCCGCAGGGCAGCTTAAGGGGCCTGTGGAATCACAAATGGGAGGTTTTGTGATTGACATCAACAAAGGACAAGTTCGCAAACCTGTCATCGTATCTATCTAAAGTAAAAGCAGGTTCAAGAAAAAAGTAATACATTCTATGTTCTTACTTAAAAGCGCCGTAAGGATGACACATAAACATGACGGAACATGCTCCGTCGCATGATGGATAACACCTTTAAATGCTGCTCCAAGGCCGGTGTGGCTGCCACCCGCTCTGATGCGGCCTGGGCCCAAGGACTGTGAGACCTGCGCGATTTGGACTTCATTTGGTGATTTGGACTTGTGACTTGCCCGCACATTTCTCATAAGAAGATGAACTGAGCACCTTCCTGACATTGCAGTAAGAGGGCGGAAGCCTGCGTATCCGACAGCCATGCTTGCTATGCTGGTGCCGCCTGGCTCGCCTGAATGCTGGGAACGACAGGTCGGTGATGCAGCGAGGGGCGTCGGAGCCCTGACATTGAAGGGCTACGACAAGGCCAGACGACCTAATTTTGCAGCTTTCCGAAGATTTCAAGTGAATTCAAATCATCGTTGCTGTCACAACTCCACGGCCTGTATTTCACGGCCAAGTGTAATCCATTCCTAAATAATTAGAGAGGGAGGGAGAATTGAAAGAATGCAGGAGCCTTTGCCATATTACTTGATCTTTGTGCAAGCTTAGGCCAAAATCCATTTGTAGATAAACTGTAGATGTGGTGAACGAAGCCAAAGTTTCACAATTTGCGGTGCTTGTTTATAAACAGATGTGTGACAGAGTGTGTATGGGGGTTGTACACCGGTTTCCTCCCAAAAGTTGGCTAATGAGAAGAGTGTGAAACTTCGAAGTTCCATTAAGTTCCCAAGTTGAAGGTGCTGATCAAACACATAGGAAGGTCAAGGTTACAAGGTCAGAGGATGAGAAGTGACGACACGGATTGAGGCCAGAGAGTTGGACCGTGAACACGATATCTCGGGCAAAATGATGCAAGCCGGCTCCAAGGCCGAACAGTGACACAATCCATAGACTGAGGATGTCAGAGGATAGATAAGACAGATTGGTCCATCCTTGACAGTCTGGAAGCAAAGAGGATATATATATATATGTGGATATATTATTTTATATAGCTCTCAAGTTGTTTTGCCTTCCCAGAGGCAGTCAGCACTGCCAGCGCCATCAACGAACAGTATGGCATTACTGACAAGGCCACTTAGCAGCCACCTTTGTGGAAGTCTCATTGCTTGTTGCCAATTTCATGAGCCACTCTTGATAGCTACCAACTTGGACCCCAAGTGAAGAGCAAAAATAACAATTATAGGACCGGATAACCCCACATGTGAACAACTTCGAAAGATTGAGGCTGCAGGGGTAAAGTGCGGAAGAGTGAGCGTGGGGAAGAGACAGGCGAGACAGATATAAGGCGTGAGGGTCTCTGTGTGTACGTGAGGTGTGTGTTTGTGTGTATGCGCTTGTTCGTCAGTGTGTATCAGTGTGTGGGTGGATGTATGCTGCTTGGCGCTTGTACTAAAGTTGTACTAGAAAGTCGCCAGTTCTCATCTTCCAGCTCCCCAGATACTCCGCGTACTAAAGTTGTACTACAAAGTCGCCAGTTCTCAGCTTCCAGCTCCACAGATTGCTCCGCGTACTAAAGTTGTACTACAAAGTCGCCAGTTCTCATCTTCCAGCTCCACAGATTGCTCCGCGTACTAAAGTTGTACTACAAAGTCGCCAGTTCTCATCTTCCAGCTCCGCAGATACTCCGCGTACTTAAAGTTGTACTACAAAGTCGCCAGTTCTCATCTTCCAGTTGTACTACAAAGTCGCCAGTTCTCAGCTTCCAGCTCCACAGATGCTGCGTGCCTGGCACGAAATCTGCGCATGGAGGTTCACAAAGTGCTGTGCCTGCCACGAAATCTGCACATGGAGGTTCACAAAGTGCTGTGCCTGCCACGAAATCTGCGCATGGAGGTTCACAAAG